TGTTGGAGAAGAGCACTGAACATCCCATGGACGACCAAGAGAACGAACAGAGGGCACAGCCAGAGTGCTCTTGGAGGCAAGGATGATGAGGCTTTGCCTCACATACTTTGGACATGTTGCTAGCAGGGGCTAGTCCTTGGAGAGGGACATGATACAGGGAAGAGTAGAGGGTCACCGAAGGAGAGGAGGACCCTCAACCATGTGGATTGATGCAGTGACTGCTGCAATGGGCTCTGTGTGTCAGGAAGTGTGAGGATGGCGCAGGATAGAACAGGGTTCAGATCTTTTGTTCATAAGGTTGCTATGAGACATACTCAACTTAACAGCACCTAAAACAACAACAGCCTTCACCATGCCCTTTTTTAATATTTTTTTTATTCTCTCTACAATATGCAACTCCTGCCTGAGACACTTGGTAGCCCCTCTTGTTGTCACTCCTTATTTTTTTTCTTAAGGCCACATGTTCTTGGAACCGTGCCTCCACCTGATGTGACAGAGGCTCTGCCCTCATCATCTGTCTCATCAGTGTCCTCTGGGAATCTCTTTTGTGTGTGTGTCTACCTCTTGTAACATGTGGGATCCAGAAAGAAGAGATTGAGATCCATCACCCCCCTCATGTTGTAATCTATATCTCTTTTAATACAACCTCAGATGACTTTATATTTTTCCCCCCAGATAAAGCCCTCAGTTGATCCTTATTAAACTGGAGTCTTAAGACATCCCCTCACCCCTCATCACCACCAGTTATGTCATTACTAATTCAAGTCCCCTTTCAAGTTCTATCTAGGTGTAGCTTGTCTGTTTGAGACGGCAGGGATGGCCTGTCAGTCCAGACAGGCAGCACATTGTTATTCCTGCCAGTGTGAGCCCGAATTCTGGGCACGGTCACTCTACTCTTTTTGGTAGACTGAGTGTTATGGTGTCTTTGGAGGGGGGAAAAACTCCACCCTTTTTTAGACTTCATGCTTGAAATTCATCTGGAACTAGAATTGCACTTCAATCCCAAAGGCACATGGTTCAAATCTACTAGCTGCAACATAGGGGAAAAAATGGGCATTCTCCTCCCATGTGTCTAAGGAGCTCTGGTGGCCGAGTGATAAGAAGGGATGAAAGTCACCAGGAACTGCCCCCTGCCTTGAATCAATCCTCATATAATTTACCCCATCTTTCTCAGTCTCCCCACAACCCCGATGTCAGTCCCATTTTACAACAGTGGCACTATGCAATATTTGTCCTTTTGTCACTGAGATATTTCACTCAGCATAATGTCCTCCAGGGTCACCCATTTTGAATAATATTGCATGAGTTCCTTATTCAATGCAGCGTAGTATTCCATTGTGTGAATATACCACCGCTTCTCTATCCATTAGTTTGTTGATGGGCACTTAGGTTGTTTCCAACTCTGCTCTTGTGAACAAAGCCATGATAAACATGGGTATGCTGTAATTAATACTATAAAAGTGCATGTGAGTGGTTTGATGAAAATCTAACTTGTTTTGAACACTTTCATTCAAATCATAGTTTAAAAAACCCCTCATTACTGTCTAGTGAGAACCAACCTATAGTCGACCCCCGAGCAGGTTTTTGGAAGCTGTATATCGCATAGGAGAAGACTGACCATCTTTGTCCTACAGTGCATCTGATGGATTCAAACCTTCTGCCTGCAGCACAGCTTCTTACTCACTAGGCCACCAGAGCTCCCTTATGATGTTTAGGAACTAAGAACAAGATAGAAAGTATCCCCGCATGTACTTATGTTCTGACCCAGAAGTTCCAACTGCTGGACAGACACTAAAAACTCAAATTTAACAGTGTTGAGTCAGAACCAATTCAACGCTGACCCTCAATTGGGTTGCCAAGGCTGTAAGCGAAACAGGAGAAGATTGCCCATCTTTCTCTCCCAGAGCCTCTGGTGGACGCAAACATGAGAGATGATGGCCTTTGAATTAGCAGAGAAGCTCCCTAAAAACTCAGCAGACACCCCCAGGGAGGTGAGTGCTGATACTCTGAAAGTGGACGTGTCCTTTCCCTAACAACTCGGCAGACACCCCCAGGAAGGTGAATGTCGCTGTCCTGAAAATGGGCATGTCCTTTCCCTAAAGGCTCAGCAGACACTCTCAGGGAGGTGAGTGCCAATGTCCTAAAAATGGACATGTCCTTTAGTGTTCCTGGAAGTAAAATTTATTATACCCTCCAAGTCAGAACAACCCAGCTCCTCCTCCGTAAGCAGAGGAATTGGTGCCTTAGTCACACAGTGAAATATTACACAGCCATGAAAAAGAACAGCCTGCTAGTACATGTCACAGCAGGGGATGCTCTCCCAGACTTTAGGTTGAATGAGAAAAGCCAGGCACAAAGTATGACATAGTGTTTAGATCCACTTTGTTGTTGTTGTTGTTGTTGTTATGTGCCATCGAGTCATTTGCGACTCATAGCGACCCTATGTACAACAGCCCTAAACCCTGCTCTATCGTGTGCCAATCTCATTGTCTCTGACATACCCATCCCGATTACCCCAGTCACTGAATCAATCCACCTCATAGAGGGTCTTCCCCTCCTGCGCTGTCCCTCCACCCTCCCAAGCATGATGTCCCTCTCCAAGAACCTGTCTCTCCTTACAACATGTCCAAAGTATGTCAGACGAAGCCCCAGAATCCTTGCCTCCAAGGAGCAACCTGGTTTAACCCTCTCTAGGATGAATCTCTTTGTTTTCTTGGCAGTCCATGGTACATTCAGTACTCTTCTCCAGCACCACAGCTCAAAGGCGTCAATTCTCCTTCTATCCTCCCTAGTCATTGTCCAACTCTCTGATGCATAACAAGTGATTGCAAAAACCATGGCCTGTATCAGGCGCACCTTAGTCTCCAGAGAGACATCGTTGCTCTTGAGTGCTTTAGAGAGGTCCCTAACCGCAGACTTTCCCATCGCAATACGTTTTTTTATTTCCTTAGATCCACTTACAGGACATAGAAAACAAAACTCCCATTCCTATCTAGTGAGTTCCAGTGAGGGGTGATTGCTCCTGCAGAGGGTTTCTGAGTCTGTAAATCTTCCTCAGGGGGGTCTGCCCATCATCCTCCTGTGGAGAAACTGGGGAAGTCGCACCCTGAACCTTTCAGTTAACAACTCAACACTATTTACACCAAGGCTCCTTGATGTTAAGGAAAGGGAAAGTTGATTCATGTGAATAAAAGTCAGATAGGAGTTCCTTCTGGGGAAGGAATAGGTGGACTTGGAAAGTATCTAAGGAGCTCTGAGTCTTAGAATTCTGAGTCTGAGAATATTGCACCTCTCAGGGACCTCTGGTGGCCTAGTGGAAGGAAGCTGTGCTGCAGTCCCGGAGGTACTCAGTTTGAATCCACCAGATGCTCTGCTGGAGCTGGAAGGACAATCTCCTCCTGTACCAGTCAGATCCAATTTGATGGTACACACCCAAATAATAATAATTTTGTAAAAAAATAATATTGCACCTCTCAGATTATGCTGAGTGAAATATCTCAGTCACAGAAAGACAAATATAGCATAATGCCACTGTTATAAAAGAGGACTGACATAGGGGTTAGGGGGAGGCTAAGAGGGATAAATAATGTTTACTGCATTGAAACAGATGAAGGAGAGAACTGTTTAAAAGGGGCAGGTGCCACCAGATGCTCTGCTGGAGAAGGAGGCGCAATATCCTCCTGTACCAGTCAGATCTGATTTGACGGTACACGCACACAAAATAAAAAAAAAAAATAAAAAAATAAAAAAAAAAGGGGCAGGTGATTAGGTATTATTGTTATGACAGGAGTTCAGAGTGAAGGCTGCATAGTGGAGGGACTTGGAGGGAGGGATTGTATAACAATGAAAGAATTTTTTCTTACACTTTTCAAAAAGAAAAGCAAATTGGGGGGAGGGGTGGGTAGGGAGAAAAGTGCAACAATGAATGAATGGAAATCCAAAGTCTCTGTAACCTTTCATTAAAATAAATTTAAAATAAAAAATATTGTAAATTTTATTAAAAAAGGATAGATTTTACATTAAAAAGTTAACTGGAAAGGGGGAAGGGAGGAAAATGTGCAACAATGAATGAATGAAAATCCAACTTTCTGTAAACTTTTGTTAAAATTACAATAAAATAAAGTTTAAAAAAATAATATTGTACCTCTCATGTAAAATGCCCTTGAGCTGCACATTTAATATAAAGGTCCTTTAAAAAACTGTATTAAGGATGTTGAAAGCATTTGCCGTTTTAGTAGTCTTTCTATGAACAATTCAGCAACATTAACTGAGTCTGTCATGTTCAGGCAACACCATTGCTTGTTTTCAAGGCGGGGGTGGGGAGCTCTGGTGGTGCAGGGAATTGTGATGGGATCCTACACGCATTGCCTCTCTAGAAGTTCAAATCTGCCCGTGGCTCTGGGAGAGAGAAAGATGAACCGTCTCCTCCCCAGGCAATTTCCAGTCTCAGAAACTCAAATGGAGGGTGAGCTGTGAGTCCATTCTGATTTGAAGGCACTGAGTTTGATTTGCGTTTGAAAAATAGGAGAGAGTTCCCCTTTCTATCCGCCTCCCACCCGTTCCCGGTAACCACTTACAGCCTGTGGTCCCTGTGCACGCACCCCTTCTGAATGTTGCCTGGAAGTGAGATCATACAGTCTATGTCCAATATAAGGGGACTTTTTGCACTTTGGATATCTCTCAAAAATTTAGCAGATAAGCCATCTGGAGCCATGATGTGACTCTCTTTCATGGTAAATGAATGTCCACTCAGAGTGTCCGGGAACAGTCACCTTCACCTGGCCTCATGGTCCTGAGCTTGCCATAGCAGTTGGGTTGACTTTGGGAAACCCTTTGTGGTAATTGCCAAAAAAAGAATGTACAAACTTAGACAAATCCTAATAGTCTTGGGCCAGTTTTCAGGTAAAGCAACTGAGGGAGAGAGAGAGAGAGAGTGTGTTGTATTCCCATATGGAAGGAGCACTGTCCACAGAGCCCTGTCTGGTCTCCTGTCCCCACAGCGGCAGAGACTCATCAACTCGGCGAACGGCGTGAACACCAAGCCGCTGCAGAACGGGAGACACGAGAACATCGAGAACGGCAACGTGCCCATGGAGAACCCTGGGGAACCTCCCCAGGACCAGGAGCAGCCACCCCCGCCGCCACCCCCGGAGCCCGAGCCCAGCGAGACGGCCTTCCTGTCCCCCTTCTCCATGCCCAGTGAGTGCGGGGAACACTGGGGATCAGGGGGCAGACTGAGGGCCAGGCCAGGCCCACCGGGCAGGGCTTCCATCAGGACACTTGTGGCTTTCCAGAAAAATGTGCCAACCAGGCAGCTTGTAAGAACAGGGAGTTATTGTCTCACGTGATGCTAACAGTCATTTCGGCCTGTCAACCAGGCCTTGTTCTCTGTCTCTCTCTGTCTCTGTCTCTCTCTGTCTCTGTCTCTCTCTCTCTGTTTCTGTCTGTGTGTGTCTCTGTCTGTCTGTCTGTCTCTCTCTCCCTTCCTCTCTCCCCCCTCTTTCTCTCTCTCCCCCCCTCCCTCCCTCCCTCCCCCCCTCCCTCCTTCCCTCCCTCCGTCTCTGTCTAACTCTCTCTCATCTCCACGGTAAGGTACCCCTTTGTCTCTCTTCTCAGCCTCTCGGAGCTCCAGGTGTCCCTTGGCCTGTGACTGAGGCATCTTCACTCAGCATCCCCATTGTCACTGTCTCTTCCCTTCTGAGGACACCACTTACATTAGATTTAGCCCCACCTTTCTCCAGCCACCTTTCTGTGGACCAACAACATCTTCAAGTCCCCTAGATCCAAACAGGGTTCATAATAGGCCCAGGGGGTGTAGGACTTATGCTTATCTTTTGGGGAGACACTGGGCCAGGCCTGGGTCATGACCTGGCGGGCTGGAACGGATCTGGATGTGGCTGCTGGCCCCCTGGAAGGGCTGACTCCTGAAGGCTCTGGAGGCACTGAATTATGGATGGGAGCTATAATTACATACAGACACTGCTGTGTGTGCCCGGAGGGTAGGTGACAGAGAGTGCTGGCTGGTGACAGGGTAGAGGGACACCAGTAACCCTTCGTGACAGCACTGAAGTGCTCAGGGTAGAGGTGGATTGTGTTTTTGCAGTAAGAAAAAGCAGCCAGTGTTACTTACACAAGCCTTTACAGACCCTACCAGCCCTGCCCTCTCAGCAGGCTGTTTCTCCTACCCTTTGCCGGTTGCGCGGTTGTTGGGTACCATCAAGTTGATGCCAACTCATAGGGAGTCCATAATATAGAGAACTGGCCTCCAGGGCTTCTCGGCTGTGACGTGATTGGGAGAAGCTATAATCCTGGGCTGGAATCTGTATGCAGGGAGCCCTGGTGGTGCAGTGAGCAACGTGTCCAACTTGATCACAAAGTTTGCCATTTGGACCCACAGGAGAAGGCAGGCTGGCTCCTCTGTAAGATTTCCACCCTCCTGGACCTGATGGAAGGTGGCTGTGAGTCAGAATTATGTGGACAGCAGTTGTTGTTGTTATGTGCCATCGAGTCATTTGCGACTCATAGCGACCCTGTGTACGAGAGCCCTAAACACCGTTCTATCCTGTGCCAACCTCTCCGTCTCAAACGCACTCATTCCCACCACTCCACTCACAGAATCGATCTATCTCATCGAGGGTCTTCCTCTCCTGCGCCGTCCCTCCACTCTCCCAAACATGATGCAGTGGGACAGTCTTTATGCCCTGGTGGCACAGCAGTTAAGCACTCAGAGATATTTACCAGAAAGCCAGTGATTCAAGGAGAAAGATGACAGCCTGCTTCCAGAAAGATCACGGCTTTGGAAACCCCAGGGGGCAGTTGTGTTCCATGCTGTGGGGATGCTGTAAGGATGAATTGATTCCACAGCAGTGGCATTGGCGTTTGATAATCTTTGGGGGAGTGGATCACCCCCAAGGAAGATCTTGGAGGTCTTTTTTCCCAGGGAACAGGTGGACAGGTTCAAACCATTTACATTTGAGTTAGTAGCCAAACGTTTTAATTATTGTACCCTCGGGCCTCCTTGCTTATTTGTTGGGATGGATAATCAGGTGAAGTGCCCATACATAGCTGCACTGTACTTGTGGAGAGAAGCTTCCACCCACAAGGAAGTCAGAGCAGGCTTCCTCCTGGCTGAGGCCCCCGTGTCCTCTCACACCACTTGAAGTCCAGGCCCAGTCTGATCTGATCATCACGTTCTCTCTGATCCCAAACTATTGACTCTGGTCCCTTTGGCTGCAGCCTCACTTGACTCCACTGTCACTTCTCATACTCAATGAGACGTCCCTGCCCCAGGACCTTTGTACTTACTCTTTCATAGAACCAGATTCCTGGTATACTCATACAGCTTCTTCCCATCCTTCTTCTGCTTCTCCGTAACAATATAAGAGTTGTCATATGGTCTCCTACGATCACAGTTTGAAATACTCTGTATCTCACTTGTTTCTGTCATTAAAATGTCAGGCTCAAGAGGGTATGGGTCTATATCTTTCATTACTCTGTTCCCTGAGCCTGGACCTGTGTCTCGTTCAAGGAGCCCTGGTAGCATAGCACCTCTTCAGGCTCCCAGCAAAGAGGTCAGTGGTTCTAATCCAGTGGCTACCCAATGGGAGAAAGATGCACAGTCTAGTCTCATAAGGATTTATAGCCTCAGAAACCCACTAGGCCGTGCCCGATACATCGTAGGTACTTACTTAGCTGGTACTTAGGGCACTCCTGTGGCTTAGTGGTAGGGAGTGTGCTGCCAACCCAAAGGCATGCAGTTCAAATCTTTCCCTGCTCTGTGTAATGCGCAGTCTCCTTCCATGCAACTTACTGCCTCTGAGAATTCGCTACATGGTCAGCTGTGCATCGGTTCTGATTTGAAGGTACGTAACAACTATAAACCGGCATTGAGAGGAGAGAGAGTGGCACAGTGGAGGAAGCATGTGGCTGCAAACCAAAAGGTTAGTGGTTCAGACCTGCCAGCAGCTCCTAAGGAGAGAGATGAGAATATCTATTTCATGAAAGATTGTTTTTGTTGCTCTTAGGTCCAATCACATTACCTCCACCTTACAGCGACCTTGTGAACACCGTGCTGAAACCTTGACTGGTCCGTACTGCACAGCCGTGAACCTCTGTCATACTCAAGCCCCTTGTGGTGGTCACTGCGTACATTTATTTTATGGAGAGGCTGCCCCTCTTTCACTGACCCTCCACCTTTCCCAGCATGCTGTCCTTGCCAAGGACTGATGCCTCCTGACAACATGCCCAAAGTGTGTGAGGTGGAGACTCACCGTCCTGGCCTCTAAGGGGCATCGTGGCTGCAGTTCCTCCAAGATTCAGAGGCTGTGGTAGAACCATTACAGTTTGCTAACACTGTCATTAAAAGGCATCATTTTCCTTCGGTCGTCCTTAGTCATTGTTCAGACTTCACATGCTTACAGTGCAATTGAAAATCCAACAGCGTGAGTCAGAGGCACTTCAGTCTTTGAACCAGCATCATTGCTAGTGAGCACTTTTAGAAAAGGTCCTTGACAAGACTCATCCAATGCAATCTGTAGTTTGATGTCTTGACTGTCACTTCCATGGGTGCTGACTGTCGCTCCAAGGGACATGAAATCATTGCCAATGTCAGTCTTTTCTCTGCTTATTATAGTAGTCTATTATTATTATTATTATTACTATTACTATTATTATTAATTTTAATTAAAATTTACAGAGACTTTGGATTTCCATTCATTCATTGTTGCACTTCTCTCCCTACCCACCCATCCTGACCCAGTACACTCTTCTCTTTGAAAAGTAAAGGAAAAGTTCTCCTATTGTTTTACACACACTTCCTCCAAGTCCACTCCACTATGCAGCCTTCATTCTGGACTCCTGTCATGACAATAATACCTAATCACATATCCCTTTTAAACAGTTCTCTCCCTCATCTGTTTCAATACAGTATACATAATTTATCCCCTCTTTCTCAGTCTCCCCCCCAACCCCAATGTCAGTCCTGTTTTACAACAGTGGCACTATGTGGTATTTGTCCTTTTGTGACTGAGATATTTCACTCAGCATAATGTCCTGCTGTCTTATGATCAAGTTGTGAGGGGTTTTGTTTTTATGATGTTGACATGTAGTTGACATTGAAGGCTGTGGTCTTTGATGATCTTCAGTAAGAACTTCAAGTCGTCTTCACTTTTTGCAAACAAGACTGTTTCTGGATAATGTAAATTGTTGCACCTTCCTTCAGGCATGATACCACATTCTTCATCTAGTCCAGCACCTCGAATGATTTGTTCAACATACATACTGTCTAGGTATGGAGAATAAATACCACTCTGACATGCGCCATTCCTGATTTTAAATCACGCAGTGCTCCCTTGTTCTGTTTGAACATTCCTTCTTAGTCATGTATAGGTTTCTCATGAGCACAGAAGTATTCTGGGATTCCCATTCTTCTCAATATTGCCCATGATTTGTTATGACCCACATCGTTGAATGCCTTTACATAGTCAGTGAAAGACAAATAAACATCTTTCTGGTATTCTCTACTTTCAGCCAAAGTTCATCTGACATTAACAGTGATAGATCTTGTTTCACAGTTTCTTCTGAATGCAGTTTAAATTTCTGGCAGGTACCTTCTTTTTTTTTTAATAATCTTTAGCAAGATTTTACTTTCATATGAATATTAATGAGATTCAGTAATTTTCACATTACGTTTGATCACCTTTTTTGGAATGAGAACAAATATAGAGTTCTTCCAGTGGGTTCAGTAAGTAGCTGTTTTCCAGATTTCTTTGGGAAAAAAGTTCAAAGCATAGACTTGTGCGCATATCTAGGGCTGCATCTTTTTATTGCAAAACGTCCATTGGTATTCCATCAATTCCTAGACTTATTTTTTTGCCAGTACCTTCAGGGAAGCTTGAACTTTTTCCTTCTGTACCATTGCCTCTTGATCATATCCTGCTTCCTGAATTCTTGAAGGTCAGCCAATTCTTTTCTTTTCTTTTGATGCTTCTTGCATCATTCAACAGTTTGTGCATCGAATACTTCAGTTGCAACTCAGAATTTGGATTTTTTTTTTCTTCAGTTCTTTCACTTGAAAATGTCAAGCATGTTCTTCCCAAAGGTTTTCTAATTTCATTTCTTTACATGTTTTAATACTTTGTCTTCTCAAACTATTCTTGGAAATCTTTTCAGCTTTATTTCTTCAACATTTCTTCCTTGAA